AAAATGGAGAAATTCGAGTTAAAAAGTTTGGAATAAATGTAAATCAACATGTATGTCAAGAGAACATAAAATATTTGAGTTAGAAAAGTTTTGAAGTTATAGAAGTTCGACTTACCGAAGTTCGATTGTATATAATAATCCTATGAATTGAGCCTGGTGTTCAACTATAAAGTTGTTCCCCACAGTTCTAATTTATTTTCCTGGGTAAACATCCTAACAGTAATGCTCGATAAGTTTATTTTTTTACAACTTAAAAACGCAGATACAGTAAAATCTGCTTTTAATGACGTCGAAGGGAAATGACAAACCCGTCATACTAAGCGGGCATCATACAAAGCATATTTATTTATTAACAGAAAAAGAAAAAGAACGATGAATTGTAATATCAATATACATAAGAAGGGCCAGAAAAATGAGCAAAAATGTTATTATTAATCATTTGGGTCACTATAACCGGATATGATTTCTTGAGAATCAGTCATAATAAACGATATGTCATTTTAAACGGAGACATTATATCCAAACTTTCCTATAGAGAATTTAATATGAAAATCAAACTTAACACTGCAATTACTAAATATTAAGCGGTTGGTCAATATAGGCGGAGTCATAATAAACGAATTCCACTGTACTTTCTTTCTTAATCATCGTAATCTAAATCCGCTGACAAAATGTGACATAGTTTGTATGCTTGTACGTTTTAATTACAATTTTGTTAGTTTGTGATTACTCTTGCCCGTATACGCTGGCATCTCCACTGCGAAAGCTTTTAAGCGTATAGAGGCGATAAAACTGCATCGTACCTATTTCCCGTCACTAAAAGCTGTCTCTTGAAAAGGCGATTGTAACGTAAAGGACTTTGAAGCGATGCAAACTAAAACCATTAATTTCAATTTCGAAGCGGCGGGCGTGCGGCGAAGCCATGCAATTTAATAGCAGTAGGGAATGAAAATTTCTCCTCTCTTGAAACCCGAGACCGGATGATATTAAAACGTCATGTTCTAGTAGTTAATTCAAAGTGAAAATCGAATAGTTCCATGAACATTAATCTTGTAACGACACAAAAAGAGGTCTGACAAGATAACATTGTAAAGAGAGCGACTAAAACGGAGATTACAGTAACTGAATTTAACCGAACAGTATAATCTTTTCTAATGAAAGCTTCATGAATATCAAAAAAAAGCTAATTTCATACTGTGGGATTCTTTCCGCTTCACTGTATTCTATTTTCTAGCGTGCACTATTCTTTTTTCGTTTTTTTAGCTTTCCAAGGCATTTACAAACCATTTAATTACATTTTTTGTCTGACAAACCATTTTGGCACATAAAATTCAGTTCAAAAGTTAAAACATAGAGCAGAGCTTTTAATATCGAACTCAATTAAACATTTTACAGGGCATTATATTCATCGTTGTAATTTACAAAACAATCCTTTAGATGTTTTAATTAAGGCAGTTAAAAGATTTCACTTTGTATTTTCCGTTGTTTTTAAACAGTTTATAAACTTTAATGGATATTGGATCGCGTTCATATTGGCATTTGTTTTGATGCTTTTGGTTTTCCTTATCGTTAATAATTATTTATTTATCACAACAGATAATCAGACAGATTAGTAAGTGTAAAGTACAATGATTACTTTTGAATGTAATATCAGTTTTGATTTTTGTTTTAGCCGCATACTATTTCCACTCCTACAACACCCTTATCACCGGCACCTGAACCCTTCCATATTCGCATCTTGAACAAATCCGATGAGGAAGCAGTGGTAGAGCATCTTAGAAAGACATTTTTCAAAGATGAACCATTGAATGTAGATTTGAAAATAACTGAAGATGGTTATCCGCAAGATCTCGAAAAGTATTCTGTAAAAAGTATCGGCGAGGGAAATTCATTAGTTGCCATTACCGATTCCGGAAATATAGTTGGGGTTTGTTTGAACGGAACGATTTACAAAAATTATGACGAAGAAGATAACGTGTCAGACCCCAAATTTAGTAAAGTCGTAAAATTGCTAGACGCTGTTGAAGAAAAAGCGGATACTTTCGGAAAATTTCCGGATCTTGATAAATATCTTTGTATTAAAATAATATCGGTAGATGGAACATGGAGGGGAAAGGGAATTGCTAAACTTCTAGTCGAAAAAGCCATGTAAGTATTGTTTGTTATACGCTTTTTACAATTATATTATATTAAATTATATTGTTGATTGGATTAAGTGGTTAATTTAAATAAACCAGTACCTACTTGATGAAAATTTAGAAAAATGGTAGAACCGAATTAAAGACTTCTGCAAGTTTTCACAAGGCTATTTATTCGCAAATCAATCCTTTTAATTGATAAGCAATTTAATGCTTTTTCAATAAGCGACAAAGATTGATCCAAAAATGTAAAAAATGACTCTAATCTCGCCAAATAACCAACGATGTGTTCTATATTTGAAATTTCTTTATTGTAAAAGCGTAAAAGCGACGTTTCGACTATCTATTTCAGTTATTTTCAAGCTCGAATTTCTATCATTGCTTGCATCTAATGTCGACTAGTATCACAATTGGTTTTAACAAGGGTTTTCATATTAACAAACATTGTCTTATT